CAGATAATATAATAGCATGAATACTTCATAAATTATAGATACGTTGGAAACGTATCAATGGCCATATCATGTCACATATTTTGATTGTATGTGATGTTTACCTTTTATGCATCTTATTTTGCTTAGTACGGCGGTAGCATTATAAGATGACCCCTTCACTAAAATTCAAGGTATAAGTGTTCTCCCTGAGTATGCACCATTGCGACAGTTCGTCGTGTTGAGACACCACGTGATGATCGGATGTGATAGACTCTAAGTTCACATGCAACGGGTGCAAGACAGTTTTGCACATGCGAAATACTTGGGTCAAACTTGACGAGCCTAGCATGTGCATACATGGCATCGGAACACTGGAGACGAAAGGTCGAACGTGAATCATATAGTAGATGTGATCAACATAGAGATGTTCACCATTGATGACTACCCCATCTCACGTGATGATCGGACATGGGTTAGTTGATTTGGATCAAGTATCACTTAGATGACTTGAGGGATGTTTATTTAAGTGTGAGTTCTTAAGTAATTTGATTAATTGAACTTAATTTATCGTGAACTTATTCCTGATAGTATTTGCATATCTATGTTGTAGATCAATGGCCCATGCTATTGTTCCCCTGAATTTTAATGCGTTCCTAGAGAAAGCTAAGTTGAAAGATGATGGTAGAAACTACACAGACTGGGTCCATAACTTAAGGATTATCCTTATTGCTGCACAGAAGAATTATGTCCTTGATGCACTGCTAGGTGAAAGGCCTGCTGCAGGAGAAAATACTAATGTTTTGAACGTCTGGCTCGTCGGCATCCCTCATATCCAACCCAAATCTAGGGCAGATATGGGGCGACCCGGGCTCGCCTGGACACGTCTGCCTAACAAACCCGACCCACCACCGACCCCACGACTGTCCAACAAAAAACTCCATCCGGCTTATCGCTTCGAACCATAGCTTACTCACAATCTCCTCTTTCGCTCCATCCTCTCCTCTCCTTGCACCGACTCCAATCAAATCTGGCGCAATGTCGAGCTTCGGTAGCGACTCCGGCTCCGACATCGACTATGATAAGGAGCTGGCCCTCCGCATTGCCTTGGAGCAGTCCAAGGTGGATACTGGGGGCAGCTCTAGATCTGTAGCGTCGTTGCAACTCCCGCATCGATGCATCACGGATGCCGGAGCTGGACCATCCCGGCCCGCGCTCAGCTCCGGCAGGACAACGCAGTCCGCACCGCCCAAGCACTGTCTCCTTCCCCCGCCGGCCGCTCCTCTGCGCAGCTAACGATGAGTGCTAGTCCCTGCGCTGCCAGCCCTCACGTGCACACTGGAATCGGAGGCGTGCGCTGCCCGCCGCGAGAGGCAGCGGGCAAGGGAGAGGGAAGCGGCAGAGCGATCTGTGCGCCATCGCCATGGGATGCCGGCGGAGCCCAACGAGGACGAGCGGCTCCTCGCATTGGTCTGCCGCCGGTCGCTCAGGACGGCGGAGATGGACACTCGCCACCTTCGACGGAAGAACCCAACGGCCCTCCGGCTAGCCATAGAGAAGTCTGAGCGGGAGGCGAAGGAGGCAGCGGCAGAGGTGGCTCGGCTGGCCAAGCTGAAGCGGAAGCAGGACAAGGCCATCCGCCGGATGAAGGGGTTGATCGTCCTGTCCTCCTCAGACTCCGACTGCGGCGACGACGATAGCTACACCTCCTACGATGACGACCAAGATCCTCCACCAGCCGCGGACGCCTACAATTGCGCCGGCGACCAGAAGGGCGAAGGCCCGTGGTAGAAGTGGTGATCCCGCACCTCCTCTTATGTTTATGTCGTTTTTAGTTGTTGATGTTTAAGAACTTGTCCGATGACGAACTCAGATGATCTTTAGGATGATGTCAAGCTCGTTTAATGTCCATTTGCAGCCGATTTTGTTGCCCGTTCTTTGATCACGCAAAGTAGCTCACGTTGCATGTATAGTATGAATATAGGGTGCCAGATATGAGATATACGGATGTCAAGAGCGGAATATGATGTGTGCCCGCGCGTCCACGGGCGTTTGAGGGGCTGAATTAGCCCATCGCGGCTATAGATGCTCTTAGAGTGGAAAGTATAAAGTTGGCGCGTCGGCGGGTGTTTGTG